CGGACCCACTTACAGAAGCTTTTAATTTCACTTCCAATATCCAAGAATTGCTTAATGATTTGTCTCTTTTTCATTCACACACAAAAGAGAGATCCTTTAAAAACCGAATAACAAGATTGCAAAAAAAAAATTAAAAGACAGCTTAATCCTGAAGACTCTGACAATTTGAGTGCATCATCCGATTACCTAACTGATGATGAAATTAACGCTCCTATTTCTCAACGCTCTCAACAATCCTTACAATAGTCCCAAACTTATCTCACTTAAACATTACATTCAAAATAATTCAATGGAATTGTGGTTTCTTTCCTCGCATAGAAAGAATCCAACAATTAGCTATCGAAGAACAACCTGAAATCATATGTTTACAAGAAACCAACTTAAATATTACAAAACCTCCTAAACTAAATAATTTTGAAGGATATCATTATATTCGAACTGACTGCAACAGAGCCAGTGGTGGAACTTCAATTTTTATTTCCAATGAACTATTTTCTTCGCACCTTCCTCTCACCACTGAACTTGAGGCTTTGCCATAACCACTTGGTGTCCTAATAAGATCACTATTTGTAACGTATACATTCCACCCAATCACTCTCTAAAGGAAATAGAATTTCTAAACCTCATTTACCAGCTCCTCTCTCCATACATTCTTGTTGGCGATTTCAACGCTCACAACCCTATGTGATCTAGGCAATCTATACTGAAGAAACTTTCTCATTATAACATAAAGGGTAACATTTTTAATTTTATACAAAATTTCTTAACTTCACGAACATTTAGAGTCTCTGTCAATGGCATTTTTTCATCACTTCACCATCAAACTGACGGCGTACCACAAGGTTCAATATTAAGCCCAACTATGTTTAACCTAGCAATAAGCGACTTGTGTTCTGATATAATATCTCCTATTAGGCATGTCCTATACGCAGATGACCTGATAATTTACTGCCACGGACGATCTATCTCTACAACTTCTAAGCTTATGCAATCCGCAGTAGATACACTAGTTAAAAAAACAAGCTCAATAGGCCTGTCTTTATCGCATACAAAATAAAAAATAATAAAATTTAGTAGACTATCACCCTTCCTATCCCCTAATCTAGAGAGAGAGCAAATCTTCCAGTAATCAGGGAATGCAAAATTCTCGGTGTAACGTTTGATTCAAGACTCAAGTATTAAGTTGAATACATTTGAAAGCGTTGATCTTTGTTGATCCACTTCTGTCGAAACATTTTTTGAATATCACAGGAAAATATGAATTTGTATTGCCTGAAACGAACTAGAATATCGAATAGATCAGGTTGCACCTGATACCCTTTTAGTGAAATATCGTTCAGACTTTTTCCTGTAGAGCTTTTATAACTAGCATCCATGACGACACGCAAAGTTGTACTTTTATTTTGTTCGTTGATGACACACAAATGTGGAATAAAATATTTTTTGTCAGAATTTTCATTCACGAACGAAAGAGGCACATATTCAGCATGCCCTGAAGAAATATACGTGTCAATGAAGTTTTCGTACTCGACAAATAATTTTTTATCTTTTTGGAATTTATTTTCGAGCGAGAGAAAACGCCGTTTGGCTATAGAAAATGAATCACCCAGTAACTGGTGTTCTTGTGCACTTTTTAAAGGAATATCTACTACAAAACGTCCAGTTTCAAGGATCTTTGTAGTAGTTTGAAATATTTGTTCGGCCAGCTCGTCAGCTTCCGACAGAATAGGTTTTTTAGAAAGTTCTTCCATGTTCCAAAATTTTTTGAGCAGCTCGTCCGTGCTACACGTAGAAAGTAGAGCAACCTCTCCAGAAACATTGTTTGCTACTGTAGGGGCCGTCAAGTGAGGAGCTATCACGCCGGCTATTAGGTACCCCAGATGCGAAGCCTGCAAAATTGGAAGCCTGGGGCCAAGAGGAATTATTTCTGGAAGAATTAGGTCGTAGTACAAATCTGCCCCAACCAAAATGTCTATTTGACTGGGTTTGTGAAAGGAATCATCGGCGAGAAAAACGTCCCCTGGAATTGGTAATTTTTTTGTAAGAATGCGGAACTGTGGAATATTGCAAGTAATATTTTCTAAGATAGCACATGAAATTTTGAAAGATGTTTTATTAAAGTTAGAATGCATTTTTATGTTGACCATCTTTTTTTAAATAGAATTATTTTGGCCTATGCCAGAGATATTTAGAGAAATGTCATATGGCTTTTAACCCAGCCTATCAGCGAGACACCGGGTACAAAAGCTATTCTGACTTCCTGTATCGAGTAACAATCGGGCCGTTAAAGGGTTCCCGTTTTTGTCGAAAATGGTGACTTTGGCCGTAGCTAGAAGTATGTTTGAATTTTTTACGGACAAAGCAGAAAATGAATTTGTAAGAGGTTCTTGCCCTTGAACCGAAGGATCTTGAAAATTTGAATTAGACGAATGTTCGCGTTTGTAATTGTTTGAAATTTAGAAGTTGACGGACTTTCATTATTATGGGTCGTAGAAAAAGTATAATCTTTACCCGAAATGTGAAGAACAGTGTTATGGCGCTTTTTACATATGGTGCATCCATGTTTTGAGTAGCAGTTTTTTAAATAATGCCTACCTAGGCAGTTTACGCAGAGACCTTTTGAATTTACGAATTTTATCTTGTCATCATGCTGAATGTTTTTGAAAAATTTACATTTATAAATTTTATGTCCTTGTTTTTTGCAGTAAATACAATAAAAGTCAGAAACTAAATTATTTAAACTATTATTTTTATTTAAATCCCCTGATGTGTTATTACTGTATGCATGATGTGAAACATTTACGTTTTTGGTTTGCCTAGGATTTGTATTTTCCAGGCTTTCCAGAACAATGCACCTTTTTTCTGGAAATTTAAGAAAAGCATCTAAATTTGGTACATCTGTATGATTTCGCTCAATTTCAAAAAGTCTCCTTGTTGAAAAGTCTAGTTTGCTTTCTAGCAGAAAAAACTAAAATTATATCAATAAGCTCTGAACTTGAAAATTGCAAATTTTTCGACAGTTGCATATTTTTTGTTACAGTAGTTAGAAAATTTCTGAGAATCTGCGGTGAGCTGTTTCTCAGTGTAGGAATGTCTAGAATTTCTGTCAAATAAGAATTTATGATCGTGACCTTATTTTGATAGCGGTTTTTTAGAATATCTAAAGCAATTGAAAAATTTTCATTTGTGACTTTCAAAGAATCCACCAACTTTAGAAAATCACCCTGTAGATAACTTTTCAAGTAAAGAAATCTTTGGATGTCAGAAAGGGACTGATTTTTTATTATCAGTGTGTCGAATAGTTCGTAGAAGCTTTCAAAATCACTTACGTGTCCAGAAAATTTGTTTATACTGATTTCTGGGAGTTTTACGGCCATTTGTTTATTGGCGCTCCCTGTATTAGTAATTTCCAATGATTTAATTGTATTTTGAAATTTTGAAAGAGTCGCGAAATAATTTTCTTCAAATAAGGCACGGTCACATGCTTGAGAATCGTCCAGGAATTCAATTTCATCCTGTACGCTATTGAAGTCAGAAAAAAGGTCTTTTAAACTTTCTTCTCGTGTTTTGAATGAGAAAATATCTTTTTCTGAGTCGTGGTTTATTTCTAGCCACGCTAGAATTCTAGCAACTGAATCTAGAATAGAATGCTTCTTTTTTGTTAATTTATTTAAACCTTTATTGCTCATTGTAATAACTTTAATTTGTTTATTTTTGAATGAAATAATTTCTTTTTGAATTAATTAATTCTCAATGATTAATTTTGAATTTATAATATAACAAGCATGCGATAAGCTAAACAAAAATTTAACTGAATAGTTCTTTTCTGAAATAACTTTGAATTTATATAGAAAAGTTTGTGTTTGTACGTCACCCCTGGGTTCTTGGTACTTGAATGTGGGCTGCTTCTTCCTCGCTGGAGTCTGGAATCAGCTAGTCCTGGAACTGCATTTCTTGAAATTGTTCTGGTTTTTTAAACTAACACTGTTTTGTTCATTGAATGTTTATTTGTCCGTAGAATAAATAACGCACTCACTATGTCTCTAGAAATTATTGTCTACCGACGAGAATATCCGAAATACGCGAAACTTTTAATGTCTTTTTGAGAAGTTGGCAGCCTTGGGCTGATAGTGTCAATATCATATTCTGTATCACTTCTTATTTTTATAAAAGTTTACCACTAATTTGAAAAATTAAATTCTAGATTTAGTGCTGCCTGGTGAAGTTTGATGTTGTGATTGTTTTAACTAGCTTGGATTATGTTTTCAAGGTAATGAACAACAAATTATAGAAAACAAATATTTTGAGATTCTGAATCAGCTGATTTTATTGACAACGATTTTACCAACTTTTAATAAAACATCAATTTATACTAAACAATACGAAATTCAGCACCTTACATATAGGCAGCACAAATTACAGATTGTTTGTTTATCTATTTTACGGTGTCCCGGATTTTATATACAAGTAATTGTAATTATTACATAGCACCTATATTTCTCATAAGATAACTCAATGGATAATCGAGAAATAACTGATTTTTTTACTCCCAAGCCAAACCAAAAGAGACGAAAGAGTCAAAGTTCACCACAATTAAATAATATGGAAATGGATAGTATTAGTATAAATAAGGATGAACTAAAATCAATGATTGAAGAACTTCTGAACAAAACGTTAAACCCAGTTAGCAAGAAATTGGAAAATGTATCGACCAAAGATGATGTAAACAAACTGAGTCAGGACATCCAGTCATTGAGAGTAGAGAACCATCAACTAACATTAAAAGTTCAGATGTTAGAGGCTAAAGTATCCGGGATGTCTGATGAGTTAAAAGAGTTAAAAAGAAGGGACACAGTTAAGGGGAAATGCTAGAAGATCAAGAAGGAAGACAAAGAAGAAATAACCTAATTTTTAGAGGTGTTCGTCATTCTGGTAGAGAGCCTTGTGCTCTAGTGATTTCAAATTTTTGTAAAAATTTTTTAGGTATTGAAGATCAAGTTATGATTAATCGAGCACACCCACTTGGACCTCCAAAACCAAATGGACCTATAATAGCTCATGTGCCATGGGATACCGATATTTCTAAGATTCTGGGACATATCAAGAAATTAAGAGGTACTGAAATTTACATTGACAGAAACTATACCAAAGAAGTCAGGGAGAAAAGATCGAGATTGAGAGCAATTATGAAGAAAATAAAAGAAAAGAATAATGCGCTGAAAATGAAACTGGTCTTTGACTCGTTATTGGTGGAATCCGTTAAGTACAGTTGGGACTGGAGGGATGGATTAAAGTGTGAAAAGGATTATGGTATGAATCGTTTGAAAATGGACTGGATTATCGATTTAAATTTCTTGTTTAATTCTTCAACTAATAATAGTGATCAAGCAGAAGTGATGGATCATTCCGAGAACATAAATCAGGAAAACTCTAATATCCAGTCGGGGGAATCAGGGAGAGGGTTGGTGAACCCAATCTGATAGAGAGTGATGATGATATCGTGGACTTGTAACATGGAATTACTGGTAATGAGAGTTGGAACACAATAAAAATACTTATGTACAATATAGCAGGTTTAAAATCAAAACTTAATCAGATAGGATTTGTAAAATATGTAAGTAACTTTGAAATATTTATATTATGTGAAACGCATGTAGAAACTGTATTTATTGATAATGTTTTTAATAATAGATATAAGTTATATACACAGGCAGCTGTGAGATTTTCCAATTTTGGTAGAGCGAGTGGAGGGTGGTTGTGTGGTGTTAATCATAAGATACAACATAAGTTGAGGGAAGTGAATGGTCAAATGATTATAGATATAAAAGTAGGTAATGAAAAAGTTAGCATTATTCCAATGTATCTAAGGCCAGGAGAGTACTGGGAGGAGTGTTTTGAAAATGTTGAAAGGGTTTTAGTTCAAAATTCAGATCAGAATGTTGAAAATAGTTTAGTTGTAGGTGATTTAAGTGCAAGGTTGGGGGAGGAAGGGATTCTAGGTGATGAGCTTGATGAAGATAGGGTATACAGAAGGACGAGCCTAAGTGAAAGGAGAGTTTCTAAAGATAAGGTAATTAATCATCATGGGAAAAAATTAATTTGAGCTATGTGACGACTTCAATTTGGTTATTTTGAGTGGCAGAACAAAAGGCGATATAGAGGGCGAGTATTCATTTTTAGGGCCGTTAGGCAGTTCTGTCATAGATTTTGCATGTGTATTAAGACCAATGTTAAATTTAGTAGATAATTTTTTTATAGGTTGTGAATATTATTCTGACCATATGCCTCTAATAGTGGAGTTGACCTTCGACGTTGGCGGTCAAAAATCAACTAGTAAAGTTTTGCCACTGCTTCCTAAAATTACTTGGACCCAAACTGATTCGGAAAAATATAAAGAAAGAATGTCTTGTGAAATTAACAGAGTGATTGAGTGAACTGATCAACCGTAGATAACTTTAGAGTTATTACAACAATGTATAAAAAAGTCAGCACACAAGGGAGAATGTAAGCTTTTTGTGGCAAAGGAGGAGTGTAAGCAAAGCCAGCAATGGTTTGATGGTGAGTGCGCAAGAAAGAGAAAGCAAGTAATGCCATATCTCAGAGTATCTAGAAAAATTAGCTCAACTTATGCAACGAACATATACAGGAACGTTAAACAGGAATACAAACACCTTTGTGACTTTAAAAAGAAAGAATTTTATAAGAATGCTGCATTGCGTTTAAGAAATACGAAGAATTAAAAAGAATTTTGGAAGGCTGTTGGTCTGTATAAGTTTGGAAGCTCGGCCGTTGGGAAGGTGTTAATTTAAACAGTTTACTGCAACATTTCGCAAGACTTTTGAATACGGAGATAACATCAGATCCTGTGCTGTATGCAGAACCACTTATCCTCAATGAACATTTAGACCGGCCGTTTAGTATGGAAGAACTTCAAATAGCATTGGATTCTTTAAAACCAAATAAAGCGCCAGAAGTGGATAGAATTGCTGCTGAGTTTTACAAGTTTCTTCCAGTAAACGGAAAAGTGCTTGTACTTGGGCTTGCCAATATTTTTTTCGACAAACCAGACTTTCCTCAGGGATTTTATAATGCAATAATTTTTCCTCTTTATAAGAAAGAAAACATGGAGAATGCAGAAACTTACCGAGGTATTAGCTTCTTAAATGCAGTAACCAAACTCATTGCGGCATTGACTTTAACTAGACTTACCTCGTGGGTACAAAATAATAACATTTTAAACGAGTTCCAGGCAGGATATAGAACTGGCTATTCAACTATAGACAACATTTTTAATCTTACAAGTATAGTAAATATCCAACATGCACGGGGAGTAAAAAATGTTTATACATTTTTTGTAGACTTTAGTGCTGCTTTTGATACAGTTGATCGGCGGGCACTTTTTTACAAGTTGAGTCATTTAGGATTATCTACTAAAATGCTGAATTTGTTAAAAAGTATGTTTGCGAATACAAAATCGGCAGTCTGGTCAAGACAGGGATGTCTTTTAAGTCCATTGCTGTTTGCGCTTTTCTTAAATGACCTACATGAAGCATTGGGAGGCGGTTTGGAAATAAATGGTTTAATTATAACTTTTAATATATGCAGATGATTTCGTTTTAATGGCAATCAATTCGAAGGTGCTACAGCGGATGATTAATGAACTAGAAAAATACTGCAGGATGTGGAATCTAAAAATAAATTTAGATAAATCCAAAATTCTTGTGTTCAGAAGAGGAGGTGGTGTGATCAGGGAATCTTGGAAACTCAATGATCGAGTATTAGAGGTAGTGAATAACTATAATTATTTAGGAATGATATTAACACCCAAGTTGTCGTATAAAGCTCATCTAAAAAAGCGCCAGAGTTTGGCAAAAGTGGCGATTCACACGGCTTGGAGTAGTTTAGTGTCTAAGGCTGAAATACCCTTTTTGGCTAAAGTAACAGTGTATGAGTCAGTGGTAAGATCGATTTTGACTTATGGGTCTCAGGTATGGGGTATTTTTGAATACGATGAGGTGGAAATAATTAGATTTTATATAAAAAAAATGTTTTCTTGTCCAAGGTATTGTCCTAACTTTATGTTAGATTTGGAGACAGGTATTGCTAGAGTCAGTCTATATACGATGAACTTACATAAAAACTATGTTAAAAAAATACTAGGATATACGAATGATAGGTTGCCAAAATTTCTTTTGAAGGAAATGATGAGAGCAAGGTGTGGCTGGTGCAAAGATTGGATGAGCATGGGAGAAAAATTTGGTATTGAGGTTAGGTGTGAATGGGAATGGAGAGATAGCTGGCCTAGTATGATTGAGAATATGATAGAAAAGAAGAAGGAGGAGATACAGCGTCAGGCTGAGAACAGGGCACTCGAATCAAATTTTTGTGGACACTACAAAGAACTGCGGGAAGTAGGAGTAAACATGCATTACCTACTGGAAATGGAAAATTTTGGGGATATTCGATGGCTCTTTAAATTAATATGTGGGATTCTATATTTGAATGATCGACCTGGCAGAAATGATGAAAGAAGATTTTGCTCAATGTGTAACACGAAGGAAAGGGAAGATGTGATACATTTTTTGGGAAAATGTTCGGTGTTGAGACATATTAGGTTAAAGTGGTTGGGTAGACATGAACTTAGTACAGTGGAAGTAGTTACTATGATGAGACAGGGCAAGGCTGAGTTAGCAGGTTATTGTAGGGAGGCATGGGTGTATAGGTATGAGTTAGTGAGCCTATTTAACTACTAAATCTATTAGCGTGGTGTTATATTAAAATTAGTATTAATAATTTGTTTGCTTATATCTATTATCTTTTTATGTATCTGGTCTATCTTGACTAATATTGTTATTATTATTGTTACTATTATTATTGTTGTATCTGCAGCTTTCACTCCCTCAAAGGGATATTCAATCTTTTCAATTGTAATCTATACCACACTGTTATACATTGTTATTATTGTTGAGTCTAGTGCGAAGTGTTACTTAGTAGGATAAACACATTTAGTTTATTACTATAAAATTTATATGAATATTTACTTAATTTATTTTTATTAATTTTAATGACCTTGTTAGACATAACGAGCCTTAGTGTAATTTTTTGTATATCAGATAATAATATTTGTTTGCCAACCCTCCTGATGGCATGTGCCAAGGAGAGCAAATGTCACTAAAAGTATTGTATTTTTTTTTATATTGAGAAATAAAAGGCATTATTGATTGATTGATTGATTGATTGAATGTCTTTTTGAATGCGTAGAATGAACAAGAAACTTGTATTGAGTGTTTTTAGGCCAGAAAGTAGTAGGATCAGAATACGGTTTGAAGTAATTAAAATTCGCCTCGAAGTGAACAAAATGGAGGGTGCCGGTTTACAACATCCCTTCCATGGAGAGGCTTATATGCAGCAGTGTCTCTTTCAGCGGCTTTGTTCTTGCTGTAAGCCCAATTAGTCCGCTAGCCTTCGACAGCTCAGTAGAGAAACTAAAATGGACTTTTAAAGTTGCTTTTATCTGGCCTGTTGAATTGATATAGTGAAATAAAACAATTACTTGTTTAGAAAGAAACTGTAATTAAAATAAGAAAGGGCAAGAAGTAGAACTTATAAAATTTGAGTGTGTAACTTATCGTAGGAACTTAATTTGAATATTATAATTTGCGAACGAAAGCGAAAACACCAAAACACTTATTCACATATTACGGCTTCTCGGCCAATAGCGTAAACTGCAACGTGGAGAATCCTCTCAGAACTTTAAAATATAGATGTTAGCCCTACGAAAGTCGCTAAATCACTAGCCCCGCTGGAATATTTTTTTGTTTATGCATTTTGAAAAACCGGTCTATCGTCAAGTAGGCGCTGTGGGCGGGGATTAACATTCTCAGAAGAAAGTCTAGGTAGACTGGATTTATTTAGGTACCCGGCGCGAAAATATTTATTTGATACGAAATAGAATTATTATTTTTTTTTTGATATATAATTATTTGGCTGGAGATATAGTTCTCCAACAGGATGTGATAAACTTATAACCCTACTTTTCATATTTAATACTAGGTTGGTCTTCATCTTAGATCGATGTGCTGAAAAGTAATTAATAAACCTGTTGCTACATATTGGTTTTCTATACCATTCTGTTTTTGAAACGTTGTTTGAATCACGGTGTACCATCATATCTAGAAATGGTATGCAGTTGTTATTTCCTAATTCTACTGTAAATTGTAAGTCTGACTTACAATTTACCATTTCTAGATATGATGGTACACCGTGATTCAAACAACGTTCTAAAAATAGAATGGTATAGAAAACCAATATGTAGCAACAGGTTTATTAATTCCAAGCTTCACTGTTCAGGCCAACAAGAGATTTAGTTTATCGTAAAGAGAAGATATTCCAAGAGTCATTTTTCACTCAGGCCAACGAGAGATTCAGTTTATCGAGAGTAGAAGAGGCTAGCATAATTCGAACGATTCGTGCATTTGAAGGAGATCATTAAGGACGATAAACTTGCAACAATTTGTTGTAAGATTGCTGATTACCTAGGGAGCTGCTAAGAATAGATAGTAAAGGCTACAAGGAACAAGGATTTGGACCACTCATCATCAGAGAGAGATAGTGTTGTTTTTCTGCAGTTTTTTCTTTTATTGATAACACAATTTTTACAATTACATTTAGAAAAGATATAACTATTTTAATTAGGAGATATAGAATAATAATTGGGATTTTGAGATTTTAACTAATATTGTTTGTACCATTAATTTTGAAGGTTTCACGTACGTAGAACAAAATTTGAGAATCATTACATGAGATATTGTTTATCGAAAACATTTGAGTGTGAATTTTTTTTCATTATTTTTATTTCAATATATATTGTTATATCATATATGTTTTTTATTATTCCGGTATTCTTTGGACCTTACCTTTCACATGTAAAGCATAGATATTGAAGCACGAATATAACCTTGAGATAAGAGAATTAAAAAGTGTGATAGAATCATAATCATATCATTTAAATAATTTTAATTAATTAATTAATTAATTGCTTGGCGCTCTAAGACTTTGAATATCACAATAACTGGCTTCCAAAACGTAAGGCTTGAAAATATCGCTGCTTTACATTTGAAGGAAGGGAAAGAGATCTGGAATAAGTACAGGCGATCCAGAGATAAGAACATATAACATTGAGGGAATTTGAATTTGAAAGTATTTTGACAATTTTTTTCCAGTGGATAAAAATTTGATTTATTGATTGATCGTAGTTGGTTGATATTTACTGCTATTGAATTATTTGATTTGATTTTCTTTACCAATCGTACATTTGATATTTATTTTGAATTATTTGAATTTTACTGATTGCATATTTGATATTTGTCGTGAAAATTTATTACAATTGGATAGAAATATTTGTCGTGTTCTGCAACATATAGAGTGTTGTAAAATTTCACATTTGGCGGGGACAAAAACAGTAACGAAAATAAACATGTCGACCACAAGGAGTCAAAGCAAAATGCAAGAAAGGAAGGAGGATAACAGAGAAGAGGAAACAATTGTTGAAGAAGGATCGGATAATGAAGGAAATGTTACAATAGTTGAGGAGAGAAAAGAATCATCAGGAATAGATAAAATATTAAAACTAATGCAACTCCAGTCACTAAAAATGGACGAAACAAAACAAACAATGGAAGAAAACCAACGGTAAACAAAACACATAATGGACGAAAATAACCGCAGACTGGAAGAAAACCAGAAGGAAACAAGACAAGCAATAGAACTAAATAACAGGAATATAGAGCAGCGTTTGGAAAACTATGAACAAGAAATTAAAGGATGTGTTGAGGGGATAAAAAAGAACTGATACAACAGATAGAAAAAATAACCCTAAAGAATGCAAAAGAAGAGACAAATATTAAAGATATCCAAAATACGATGAAGGAAATCAAGATTGTCCAGAAAAAGGAATTAGAACAGTTAGAAGAAAAATTTGAAATGGTGCTACAAGAAGACAGGAAGGAAGTAGAAAGGAGATTAAAGCAAAATGAAAAACAAATGGCAGAAATTAAACTAAGAGGGGTAGAGAGAGAAGAAGTTATCATCCATGGAACAAGCGAGGCGAAAATACCATTTGGCAGGGATATTCGGAAAACACACCCAGTACCGTTTGTTAAAAATTTGAAAACCAAATTGCAACATGTTAGATATTTTGACGATTGCAAAGAAACAATTAAAAACCATCTGAAAGAAGGAGCAGCGTTATGGTATGAAAGCAAGGAAGATGAGTTTGAAAATTGGACAGATTTTGAAAATAAATTTCCCAACTATTTCTGGGTGAAAAATAAACAGAGAGAAATCAATCAAGACCTACAGAATGGAAAATATCACGAAAAAATGGGAATATCTGAAGAAAGATATGCTTTGCAGATATATAACAATTCAAAATATCTGGAATACAAATATTCTACCGAACAGCTGGCAGAAATGATCAGCAGACATTTTGAGGAAACTTTGGAAGATCACGTGATTTTGAGAAACTATCAAGATATTGATAGTGTGTGCCAATTCCTTTAATTAAAAGAAGCGAAAAGAAGAGAAATGAGAAATAGAAGACAACATGACCAATATAATGGACCGGAAAGAAGGTATCCATCAAATTATGACCAGAGAATCCGACATCCCAGATCAACAAATGAATATAGGCCGAGAAATTACAATAATTACAATAGACAATAATTACCTAGGGAGCTGCTAAGAATAGATAGTAAAGGCTACAAGGAACAAGGATTTGAACCACTTATCATCAGAGAGAGATAGTGTTGTTTTTCTGTAGTTTTTTCTTTTATTGATAACACAATTTTTACACTTACTTTAGAAAAGATATAAATATTTTGATTAGGAGATTTAGAATAATAATTGGGATTTTGAGATTTTAACTAATATTGTTTGTACCATTAATTTTGAAGGTTCACGTACGTAGAACAAAATTTTGAGAATCATTATATGAGATTTTATTTATTGAAAACATTTGAGTGCGAATTTTATTTCATTATTTATATTTCAATATATAGTGTTATATCATATATGTTGTTTTTTATTATTCCGGTATTCTTTGGACCTTACCTTTCACATGTAAAGCATAGATATTTAAGCACGAATATAACCCTGAGATAAGAGAATTAAAATGTGATAGAATCATAATCATGTCATTTAAATAATTTTAATTAATTAATTAATTAGCTAATTAATTGCTTGGCGCACTAAGACTTTAAAAATCACTATAATATATATATATATATATATATATATATATATATATATATATATATATATATATAGACAGTGCGGGTCTAAAATATCACTTACAATATATTTTCCAAACCATAAAACGTAAAATAAACTGTTTAAAGTAAGTAAGGTACATTTTCACAGTATTTTTCGTGTTTATGAAAGGTAATCATTAAAAGTGATGGCGGGGCAATATTTTGTAAAATAATGTTAGATGGGATTAGATGACAAGTAATATATCACTTAAAAGCTCGTTTCATGTTGTTTTCAAAAATAGAAGAAGTTCTCTGTTTAGTCTCAGTTTCAGTCAAACTGTCAGTTATCTGTATTGTAAGAAAAATTGATACTGAGCTGTGGCTAGATGGGTATAGCGGTGAAAAGGTTTAAAACCGACTAGGGAAGAAGTCCCTAGTACTGTTGGATTTAATCAGAAGGCGTGACCATACGAGAACGGCACAGAGTTCATACTAAATCATGGCCCCCATCGTGCGCTACTGTCAGTTCGCCTACCAAGTAAAACCACCCCCTCTTCGACGCTAAATTAACCCGGACGAGTTCATTACAGAACGAAACATGGGAAAATCCCGCGCAGTTTAGAAGAGTGTTCTTGTAGAAAGTATTAGGGCTTGTCCTACGATATACACCTAAACACGGCACACACCTAGGGGAGAGTCTGATTCCTTTTCGGAAGAGAAAGGGGTTCAAAAAACAAATTTATTAATAGCTAGAGAGCGCGCCAGAGTTGTTCGGGTGTATCTGCTCGTAATTTGATGACTTTCTCTGTCTTTGTTTTCCTTTCCCCGCCTCGTCTAACCGTTGTGGAATGTTCCAACACCTCCAAGTCTCCTTAGAGGGTGGAGAGGTCGGAATAGTGGTCTAGGTATATTCTTTGTATTGAGTGGGTCATTGTTGGATTATTTGGTTCCAGAGCTACGACCTTAACGCCGCACTTGGAGTCCAGCGGGTTCAACATCTCAATGGTTGTCTTTCTAATGATCCTTTCAGGCCAGTCGTAGCGAGCGTGCCTTTAAAAGTCGGCGAAAGTATTGACTATTTCGAGGCTCTTCACCTTGACTGCCCCGGAAGTGCAGTGGCAAGTGTGCGGTTATGTTCCACATCCCGCCGTAGCGGGTTTGGGTATTGTCATAGATTCAACCATGTTCACCTGTGTTTTCGTATTCACTGTCATGCGCTCCACAGACTTAGTCAACTGTATCTGGAGCCATTTCTTATAATGCTTTATCTTCTGTAATGCGTGTCCTTTGGTAAGGTGCCTATGGAGCTCCTTTGTAGGCTTTGCTGTATTCGGGAATTCCGAAATAAGTTCGGTGAATTTTAACAATTGTTTGCCAACATCCTCTATATAGTCGAGCAGCTCAACCGCCTCGCTATACATCTTCTTCTTATATATCTCCCTTTCAAAATTTTCTTAGGAAGCCTTCCGTTTAAGTATATTTTCATCCGATAGAGAACTGGTTTTCCTCCTGAAGTAATCTGTTTGTCTTCCCGATTTACCACTCGAGTCGATGCGGTTTTAAATTTTTTTGGAAGTGGTATCATCTTAGTCTCACGAGTAACTAGGGAAATAGTTTTTCGCCACCACAGAGCCCCGCATGTGATGGTAAGGCTACATACAACGGGGGATTTGCCAGATACCGCGAGGGAACCGTTGATGGCCACGTGTCGTGTGGTCATTCATCCTTCGACACGTGTCAAACACCTTAGATTCCGAATTTTCTTAACGCGGTTTACTCCGTCGGATTTTTGGTTTTCTCCGGTGTTTAGCGGGACAGGGGAGAGGAAACAGGAAAACCTGCAAGGTGCGAGGTGAAAGGCGTTGAAATTGGAAGTGATTGCGGCGCCTTTCAGCGTCCTTAGACGAAGTCCGGCGGCCACCCGGTGCAACGGCGCAGGACGCTAGGTGGACTTGGTTTAACTGGTCGTGCACCCCTCACAAACTTTAGGGACCAAAACCAATTACTCGGCCCTCCCACCGGCGACGAGATAAAAACACAGTCCTGGGAGAGGGATGGGTATACTAAAAGTTATTGCGTTAGTTGTCAGTTAAACTGATGCATAAACTATCTTGTCTTATCAGGTGTTAGTCACATAAAATTTTCGATAGGAGTAGTGTGCTCCTTGCGCCATGACTTTACTACTGAATTTATCGAACTGTATTAGCAACACCCATGTCTGTATCACAAAAAAGATTCATAGTACCCCAACATTAACAAAAGACAAGCTGCGCAGAATGTTTTGACAGAAAACAGTTACAACTATAAAAATAGTAAAAGCGAAAATAAACAATCTACGATCAGCTTATAATAAACAATGAAAAAATGTTAGAGACTACTAACAGCGGGGCCGGAAGTGGTGACATATATGAGATATATTTGTGGTACTACGATTTATATTCCTTAGGCCCGATTGTACATTGCAGGCTTAAGCGATGGCTTCATTGAACCGGCCTCAAATTTGAGCGTGGGTTCAACTTCATGAGGGTTGTTCAATGGCAAGTTTAGTTAAACCAAGGCTCATACAAATTGTGATAAGGTTGGCAACGTAACGCATGCGTATTCATTTAGAGCTTAAATCTCAATTTTTCCGCTAATTTTATATTATTTAGTTTTTGAACGGTTTTTGTAAATATAAGTCCACTAATAATTCTGTTATTTAATATTAGTTTAATTTAATTAATTAGTTTAATTTTTAATCATTTCCCTAAGTTAAATTTATGAATAAACCATTTGAATGGGTACGTAAAGTATATTCTTGCAATATGTTTATTTTCATGTGAAAAATTGTTTTTAGAAGTATATTTTTTATATTTATTTGGATTTTTTATTTTATAAGCAATATTTTGATGTAAATAATGAACTGTATCTTTAGATAACCTAAGTCTTTGCAAAAATTCATTATCATTACATTTTTCAAAATGAGTGTCTCTGGTCCTAAATTGTTTTTGTGTCTTTCTTCCATCTACAATATTTATCATTTCCAGAAAATCTTCATCGTCAGTTAAATTTTCAAAGTTATTCATTTTTTATAATATAACACTACAGTAACAGATAATTATTAAGCTTTCTATTGACAATTACAAACAAATAGAAATATGTGAGGTTAAAAATGCCTGAGCTGACGTTGAACCGTCAAACTTCTATCGCTCAGTAGAACCCATGTTTAAACCGAGCTCAAGAATTAAACTTTAGATGTACAACTCACTTCATGCGTTAAACTCGGTAATGGCGCTGAGCTTGAGTTGAGCTACGAATGTACAACCGGGCCTTAATGATAAACAAGATGTTCGTGGTGATTTCATAGAAACACTATAAACAACACAACGGATGATGATGATAAAGTTCCAGAGAGTAGTACAGTACTAAAGTATAAATAAATACTACATTAATCCATAGCGTATTGTTTATTGTTTTGTAAATTTAAACATGGTGCAAATATTCAACAAAACGTACAAAAATTATGTACTTTTATATGTTTTGCAAACTATTTTCACTTGCTAGTCAACTTTTCCTTCGTTTAGGAAATATTGCATGTAGTTATTACTTACATTTTTTACTGCTTTATAAGTTTGGTTCTGATTTGCAGTCACTCGAAGATCTACTAACCCTCTCATCTCTAGGATTGAATCTTTATCTGAACTGTTTAGTTCACTCGGATGGCTGCCTACTCTGAGCAATATTGCTCCACCAGATCTACGCCGTACAGGAGCATTAGTGAGAGAGTACCAGAAAATTGTAGCCAACGTACAATTACCAATACATCAAGATATCCCAGACATCTCAAAAGAGCACCAACGATTGAGATCTAGAAATCCTCTAATACGATCTGCCCGAAAAATTGGTAATTCCTATGATATACATAGGCAATGGACAACAAGATGGATGCCAACAGTAGAATCGGACTATATTAAGATATCCACCCCAACTCAGGGTTTCATCGGATCAAATCTGCGACGGTCCATTTGGGCAAGGCTTAATCGTATACGTACCGGACATGGTAAATGTGCTGATTCGCTGTTCAGGTGGGGTCGTGCAGAAAGTCCACAGTGCGATTGCGGAGAATCTAGACAGACCATAAGCCATTGTGTTTCAGACTGCTTAAATCGTGCCTACCGTGGAAACCTCCAGGACTTTGCGGAATATTCCCCAGAAGCAATTGAATGGCTATGTAAATTGGACATTAATATTTAGTGTCATTCATTCTATTCATTCTATTCATTCTATTTTTACTATTTTTAGTGTTTGAATAATATATATAATATATATGTGTATATTATTGTATTTGTATATTTATCGTACTGTGAAAGTCCATACGCTAAATAAATAAAATAAATAAATAAAAGTTCACTCGGAATGTAGCGCTTGCCGTATGTCTTAAACAATTGTGCAAGTAGCAACAAGCCACGGCAAAATTATTAACATTTTTCATGTTTCTAAAATAAATAGAAGTATGAGAGATTCTACATCTATTGATCAATATTCCAAATGTATGCTCAACAATACGTCTTGCTCTTAATAAATTGTAGTGAAAGGCCATACGTACACAGTTTAATTGATTTTTGTTAAAGGGTCTTAAAAAGTTTTGCTCTAATGCAAATGCTTCATCTCCAATAATAACAATTGGTAATTTTTTGATACTAGATGGTAGCCTTGCGTTAGGTGGTAAATGTAAACCATCGTTAAACAATCTTTTATAAAACTTGGTATTGTTAATATCCATATGAAGTGGCTCCATTAGTTCCCATATTTCACATAATAAATTCGTTATTTAAATTTACGACCGCAATAATATTATGCTATAAAATTTCATATAATTCCAAAATTAAGATCTACTTTCTTTCTATTGGTGGTATTATGCGTACGTGCTTGCCATCTACAGCTCCGAGACAAATAAGAAATTGCCATCTAGTTTTAAAACCATAGGTTTTAGATTTAGCTTTAATTGCTGACATCTAAAACAATACATTACCTTAGTTTAACTTGCAATATAGTATCTAGAGGTATTTCTAGTACCCAATAAAAGTCTACATTTTTGTAGGAGAATTCATCATCTGGTGCTGACGATCATGCACATGACGGAGAGGAGAATCCCACAAAAAAACTACAAATCTCTCACTTAGTGAAGAAAGTAAAAGACTCAGAAAATTAATTCACGATTAGTTTCCGACCCATGGATACGAAACCCTTAGGTACACAAGAAAAGAGACCATCTAGCAGTTCTACTCATGGGACAAATAAAAAAGTACTTTAATGGTTGCTAATCGAATAATGAAGAATGATAATGCAAAAGATGAAATGCATTTGGTAAATATATTGCAGCAGAATTAAGTAATATGATACCTCATATGCTACCTTTCCCTATAAAAATTATTATTGATGCCATATTTAAAGGCCAAATGTGTTCCCTTAATAAAACATCAGCTATAGTAATTAAGCCGTTTTCACAAGGTCAATTATGGCCGGTACAGCAGCAGCAGGGGTTGGAGCAGCATCAATTAAGTACATTTGTAAATTCATGAAATGTACAATGTGCTTCAATACCAAACGTTAAATGGTTAGTTATTTTTCACAGTATTCTGATATATAACATATTATACGACTACATGTTTTTTGTAAGCTGTAATAAATAAAAAAATTTACCTGTCACTATCGCACTTACCTTTATATAATCCTGCAGTACTCTTATTTTTTGCTTTACAGGTTTTGAGTATTAAAATGTGGTGATATAGTTTCTCTCATGTTAATGTCTTATTTTATTATAATTGATGTTACTAACCGCAGTAATTCTAGATATGCATCCTCACTTATTCTTAAATAGTTTAAACAATCAGAATGTTCAAAACAATGTTCCTTTAATAAATTTAAATGCAAAAGTGTATTTCTTCTCAGCAGCCAATTAAAACTCAATCTACTTCTCTTTTTTCGTAGATTTTTTATTGCAAAGCACAACGCGCAATCTTAGTCTATCACTAAACTGTGCAAGACAAATGACAACTGATAACTAAACTGATCGTCTAACAACCCAA